AGCCGGTATTAATGAAATGTGTTTTCCATTGCTTATTCGAACATCGATGAAGTCGGCACCACTTCCAACAGCAGCTGGAAGAAGAGCGTCACTTTGTCTGCGCCAAAGAGAAAAATAAAATGTTGCATTGAATATAAGCCTTCATTATTGATTAATATATGATTGTGAACTTTATGGACTTACTCATAAATCTTGGTGTCATGCCTAGTTTAACGAAAGGCACATAGAATATCAAGCCCCCCAAGATGAAGAGCAACGCATATAAGTATTCGATACGCGGTGTGTCGATAATCGGCGCCACCACTAGATAAATGGAGATCACCAGCACCACAACAGGAATGATGATAGGCACTTTGTATGGCCTTGGATAGTTGGGTTTGGTGAAACGCATCACAATCAGCGCCAACATAGCACCGCCATAGAATATCCATGCGGTGAAGCTGAAGAAGTCAATCAATGAACCGATTGTGCCGTACAAAACCATGGCGGTAGCGATGAGTGACTGAAATTGCAAAACAGTAATATAATAAATTGAAGTTAATTGCTAGTTCTTAAGCTCTGGAATAAATGCTAAAAAGCGATAAATGCATAACCGACCATGCGACCTAATCGGGTTTATTAAAGTTGCGTTCTAAACTTTCTACAGGAAATTTGGCAATGAGTTAGATCTGTTGATAAGAGTTTGCTGTGTACGTTTCTTGGGCCTACCGTTGGATAATGTCGACGACATCTTAACTAATTCCTGCCATCCTAAAGGTGATTAAGTGCCCGTTACAACAACAACAACAAGTCATGTTCTATGGCCCGTCTTGAGTTTCTGTTCTTCTTCAGACACTTGGGTATAGCCGAACCGAATCTCAGGGATATTAAAATGAGTTTATTAAACTATAGTACCACAGCCTGCCCATTAAGTAACACATGCAGGACTATAAACAAAAATTGTCATTCACAGTGGAATAATTAACAGAAATTCTTTTTTTTTTTTTATAAATAATAGTACGGAAATCAAATCGAAAATCGGAAATTTGGAAACGTGAATCTAAGCGCCAGTGTAAAAGGCGACAAGTAGCCTAAGTTTTTCCCTTGCAAAAAACTTTTTAAGGTTGTAACTACCCATTAGCAACTTGACATGGAACAGCTCATTTATGAAAGGTTCCGGTCCTACCATGTTGGTGGATGCTGTCGAGTGGTTAAGCACATCAGCCAGTTCATTCCCGGCTATGTCTTTGTGTCCTAGCACTCAAATAATTGGCATTTGGTTACAATCCTGCACCAATTATCCCGTACACGTACATCGCTTTGAGTGCCGTTTGATTATCGTTCAGCTTAGTTATACGTTCATTGCGATAGTTGCATTGGAGGTTTAACTCTACACACCGACTTATAGCAAAGACGGCTTGGAATATGTTCGGAAAACTACCCATAGGTATGGAGTCAATTGCCTCCGAAGTTTTCGAGCCGTGTACCATTTGATTAAGTTAACCTTTTTGATAATGCTAACCCTAGGGAGAAGAGCCAGTGGTATTTCGCCACTTAGGTCCTTCACGCATTACGAAGAGATTACCTTTCCTTTGCCAAATCCAACACTTCTGCTGTCTTTTGGGGAAGCGATGTAAGTTGCAGCAATACTTCAAATGCCGCCGTCGGACATGAGAGCATGGCACCTGACAAAAGCCCTACCGAAATCTGCAATGCTTTCGGAGCCCAAGCCACTGCTCTATATGTAATCGGTCGCATAAGCCTGGTGTACAACCATGTGACAATCTCTGGCTTGATACACATACTTATCATTCAATACGGCTTGTGTTTCTGGTACAAAAACAACTATCATTGAGCTGCTGGCAGTCGGGTCTACGTAACTGAAACAAACCTTAAATTGTCAGCTCGACATTATATCAGACTGTTTGTCTTAACCCGTTCTAAAATTAACAACACCAGTGTTGAACCTACTCCCCTAATGGAACCAGTTGACTAACTAGATCTCCGAAGGACCCATTCCTTACCTTTCTAGATCATAACACTAAACTGCAAGTTCTTGTGCTATTATTGAATCCCAGAATCTTACTAACTTAAATAAAAAAAAGAATACTCACGTGGAAAATCAATCCCGGTGCCGGTGTTAGACGACGCACATGCACGTACGACAGTATATCCATTAAATGTCCCTCACGGCTCGCGGCAAAACACAAACTGGAATGGAAAAAAATACAAAAAAATTAATAAAAAAATAAACGCTTAATGCTCTATCACCAACTCACCGTCCGGCCGCGAAGAGTGTACCGTTGGCGCTACCAAAAGTGCTCACTGTGACGCTGAGCGGCATAAGCCAGGCCATAGCGCCCAATATGCGATTGCCGAAGGTCACGGCGACGGCTTCTGAGTCAATCATTTCGGTGGGTGACATTGCCGCCAAGTAAGATATATTGATGAGCGCGTAGCACAGCGTCACCAACGGTATACCGATTATGATGGAGCGTGGTAAATTCTTGCTCGGATTTTTGATTTCCTCGGTGACGTAGTTCAAATTATTCCAGCCATCGTACGCCCAGAGGCCGGTGTAAAAAGCGGTCGCTACAGCGCCCAAGGTGGGTGTGTCGCCACTAAATGCATTCGACAGGTGTTGTGTATTGCCTTGGAATAGTTTCCAGGCGCCGCCGCAGATCACTATGAGGACGGCAACCAATTTGGCAGCGGTGAATATATTCTGCACAGCCATGCCCAGATTCACACTATAACAATTCACGAACAGTATCATAACTATAGAGGGGGGCGAGTTGGACGTAGAAGTCGTAGTAGGCAGAGTCGGAGAGGCGGAGGCGGAGGCATCGTAGTGGGACGTAGGAGGTTTTGATGGTTGTTTTTTGATATTTTTACATATATATATAATTTTTTTTTTTTTTTGATTTGATAGGACGAATGAGTGGTTACAAAAAGTATACAATAGCCGGAATAGTATTGAGGAGAAATATAGAGAATAATTTTGTCAAAAAATTAATAAAAAAACTAGTTTAAAGAAAACTTTGTATGTGCGTATGCATGTGTATGTGGGTGAATGTGTGTGTGTGCATGATTTGCTTCTGACTGTTTGCTCTTGTTGTTTATTGTATTTTGGGGTTACTATTTGTTCTTTTAAATTTTATTGTTATTATTTTTTGTTTTTGTTTTTACATTTCAAGGATTTTTTGAGGATAAAAACACAACTAAGCAAACGAAAACGCATAAATATGTATGTGCATAGCATCTATATAGTTGTTGTAGTGCTTACCAATTGCCAGCAGTGCAACCATTTTTACCACCGATGTTGGTGGATCGCATTCGGTGACGAATGCCTCAACTGCATACTGCGCAAAGGAGAGACAAATTATAGCCATTTGCGATGGCTTCAGGACCAATGTCGATACCCATGAGAATAAAAATGCGGGAGCCGGACCAAATGCGTCCATAAAATATGCCCACTCAGCGCCAGACGATGTGTTCATCGTACCCAATTCAGCATATGCCAGAGCGCCTGAAAGTTGATAAAGCCAAATGTTGATTTACTGAGATGCCGTGGTAATACAAATATGTTTATTTTGGTAATTGTATTAATAAACAAAGTTTTTTAAAAGCTAAAAATGAACGAATTTGTTGTTCTCTCTTTTTAAATTCGAGCCTTCTTTAAATGCTTTGCTCTAACTTCATTAACCATTCTCGCATTCTCACCAATAGTCGGTCCTATGTAACTAGAACAGATCCGAATGTCCGATCAAATACTATCACAACGCCAGCATTCCTTAAAATTATGAGAAATTTTTACTACTACAACAAAAACACATTTCTTTATTTGTGTAGAACCGGTTCTTTGAGAAATAGTTTCCCAATCTTAAGCTCTCACTACGCATGCTGTGTCCCATTTCTTTATTTGAAGCATTTAAAAAATATTCGAAACTTGAGGCCAATGAGCCACGCCTAGACCAGTTTTGGTCCGTTGCCATATCAGATGGAGTTAAATTCTTTCCTCGATAAAGACCAATACTAAAAACATTTATTTTTTTGCTCCAATGGCAATATATATTTAGTTATCTTCCTTTATTTTTTAAGTATTTTCTAAAATTTTTAAAATACAAAATTCTTTCGAGATATCAAAAAACTCTAAAGGGCAAATTTATTCGAATAATATAATATCACAAACGCGCACACATACATGTAAACGTCGCACCATAATCTCTTTAGCGGACTTGTCAAGTATGTATGTATATACACATAATATTAATCGCTAAATAAAAGCTTTTGCTAAAATGCACGTATGCACATTTATATACTATATATTATATTATATATTTATACGCTATATAAATACATTTTATGAAGCACATTTTATTTAATTCATTTCTCAACACATTACTTTGCCAGCGATGCACAAATGACAAATGGGCGCCACAATCGAATGCAGCAAAACACATGTACATTTGCGTGCAAACACACACTGGCACATACAATGTTCTTATGGCTATGTAAACAAATGTGCATGGTGTTTCTATGTGACGCCAGACCCCGGCCAATAGTGAAATTATTGACAATTTGCCAAATGAAAAGCGGCAGCTCGTGGCATCCACAGGTTTACAGGTGCATTTACATCGTTATATCATGTGTACATATGTATATACTCACATATATACATACAGTATGGGTACAATTAACAAATGTATGTATGTGTGTAGATTTTTGAGAGTTGCACGACCGTTAATCATGTGCAACGCGGCTGCTTCAAATGCGATGTAAAATAATTGCAAAAATATTATTCCAATGCAATTACAAACAATAGAGCTAAACACTTGTTGGAAAATAAAGTAATATATGTATGTATGTGAATGTGTATTAATTTGCGCTTGCTTATTTGCGAATTTCATACGATATTATACTTTTCAGTTGAGGTGCTTTTAACGTTTATAATCACTAAGTGACGTCTACGCCAATAAAGAAGAAAATACAATACTTATAAACTTCAAAACACCCAACAATTGACACATATTTATAATAATTTTTCGGGTATTTTTGTTTAGCAATCAAATACGATATCTCTCAGCATTTTCTTACATTTGTTCAACGGTTGACTACAGGGCGTATGAGTAACTCAGTGAAGCTGAAAAGCTTACCTACAGCTCTCTACTTTGTAAAAAGTGTCTTACACTACTTCCAAAAATCTTGTGCGCATTTACCTTCTGTTAATATATAAGGGAATTAAAACAGCAAAATTAACAATAATGAAGATGGACAACATGTCGTATGAGTAATATTTTTCGCAAATTTTTGTAAATTCTTTATTTCAATTTATTTAATTCCTATAAGTACTCCATATATCCGATTGATAGTGGAGTTATATTATTTTGCATAGTATTCATATAGTATTGAGGCATGGGAGCAAGATAAAAAAATGTATTTCAATCAAATACCCATTACAATTTCATAACCCGCGAAGAAATTTCATTTATTTTGAAGCAACTCCAATTTGCTTGGAACTTGGAATTGAAATAAAAAAAAACACTAAAATAAAAACCAAAAGAATGTACCTTTCACTAAAAAGACATGAGTTGAAATTTTACAATTTCTTACAGAAATTCGGCATCTTTTAAGTTTTGGCAAAATGTAACTATTAATCTTCACAATCTTTGACATCTTATTAGAATAAATTTATAATTTCTTAATTGATTACTGGCTTTACTTACCCAACAAGGAGAGCAAACCACAGGCCAGCCATATAATAAAGCTAACACCAACGGAACCAGTACGAACTAGTAGACCTGAAGGTGACACAAATATTCCAGACCCTGAAAATTAAGCGTAAAGCGAAAATGTTAAAATATTTATTAAGAAAATTTGTTTACTATCTATAAAATGTATAAATACTGTTGGAATAAACAAGTAATTTATAACTGATATCAATACTTATAAATATATATGATATAAAGAAATATCAATACAAAAAAAAATTAAATACTAAGAAGAGTTTTTTTTTACAAAATAAAGTACATATAAATTAAATAAATTTTAAAATTATTCATTATTAGCATTTAATATGCATATTTTTCTTACGAACACCTTATACAATAATTTTAAAATAATAAACTTTTCAACATCCGCTGCCAGATATAACCAATATATAACCTTTTTAGAACTAAAACTCAAATTTTTTATCAATATGAGTGAATTCTATTATATCGCTTTCCTTCGCCTGAAAACTTATGAAAAGTAATGTTACATTATTTTGCATTTTAGGTGGCATTTTAGGTGGATGAAAATTATACGATAACATATTTTTGGACGTTGGTCACTGTAAACTGATAACTACATGTGATAAATTCAATTTACGTCAGCAATTTTCGCACTTTTACGGCAATTACGCCGTCGCCTACACCTGTTCGCCATATGTTTTTCAACGTGCCTCTCTTTTTGACCTTGCTTTTCGAAAAAATAATGCACGAAAATGGTATATGATCAACATGAGCTATTTCTTTATTATATTTATATATGATGAACAATTTTTTTGTTGAGATAGGCAAAATTAAAAAAACCTGTTTGTTTCTTTTTTATTACAACAACCTGCAAGTCGATTTTGGAACAAGGGACACGGCTTATGAAGATCTTTATCTTGACTTTAAGCGGTCAGTTCGTATGACAACTATATGTTATAGTGGTTCGATACAATACCTATGTTTGCAGCTTATAGATTTGCCTTTGGCAATAATTTATACGAAATTTTCTGAAGATATCTTGTAAAATAAAAGATGTAACATACAAGGGTTTATTTTGATCGGTCTGTGTAGGACAACTATATATTACAGAAATATGTGAGCTATACATATATCCAAACTAAAAACTACCAAACTTTTCCTTTCACTTTAACTAAATTTTATGTAGCTTCCCTAATTTAAATTTTTAGCTACCTATCCCTTGCATATGTGCCGCACAAATTGCGAAAGTCCTTGAATAACTGCATTGCAATAATTCAACAAATTTGTATGTACTCGACCATATTTGACCTTCGACCTTTAACTGCAATAGACGCCATGACATTCAAAGTCACCGTAGATGTATATACATATATGTATGTATATATAGTGTGGAAGTGTACATATGTATATAAAGGGCAAGGCTTATGCATACTAAATTTTTATGTACCAACTGTACATATGCATGGGTGCATATATATGTATACGCATATAATGCATTTTTTTTTTTGTATGACTTATGTGCCGTTATTGTACCTTTGACGCTGCTATAACGTTATAATTTGTCACGCGATGCCTTTATGGGTCATACAAATTATGAACGAACGTCAGGTGTACAAGTGGGATTAGATGTATGCAGGATTGTTTGTGTGATTTTAATTTTTCATAATCAAAGCAATGGTTAATGGTGCTCTTTTGAAAACTGCCTTAACCTTAGTTTCTTAACTGAATATAGAAGCCACTTAAACCAACTTCTAGAAGCGTGTCTTTCTGATCAATGAAATAAATTTATAAATTGTACCTAATATCCACAAAATTCCTCTAGATTTACCAATAGCCTAACACAACTTACATATTTACAAATTGTTTACAAATATTACTTCAAATCAAATAAAACCCTCGCCTCCACACAAGGCTGGTCAATGTGCTGGCGCCGCACAATTGTTAAATATTTTGTTTGTTATATTTTCCCGATGACATTGTGGATAACTATAACTATAAATTTTCGTAAATATAGAACAAAAAGTTCTAATTATATTAAAATAAATACAGAAAATAGGCAAAAATAAATTATAATAAAACTCACACATTTAGTGTAAATGTGTTTGTGCGCGTATAAAAGATATTTCAATGGTCACAACGTTTCAGCGCAGGGTCACTGTGATGTTTACTATTAAAATGTCTTGCTGAAATTTTTTTAGAAAATTTGGAATTCATAGCGAAAGCGTTTTCAGTAACCACTTTTGGCGTGACAAAATGCACGAACGCAAGAATGTATATATGTAAGTAAATGGAAATACGTACATATATTCATATATATTAGGGTGTGTAACTTTTTTCTCGATAGAATTGGTTAGCAGGCAACTCAAAAACTGTCTAAAAATATTAGCTCTTACTATTAAAAGAAAAGTCCTCCACTTTTCAGTTGCCTATTTTTCCCCTATTATTATATGTAAGTAGGTAAGAAAAATTCACACCACAGTGTACAAAATAAAATAATATCTCGTCGCTTATATTTGTTGGAAATGCATTACTTTATATAAATGGACTTTTACAATTTTTTCATAAACCGCACAGTACAAAAATTATTAAAAGTATCATGCCTATTTTTTGTTAGCGAGTTATAAAAAACTCATTCATGAAAAAATTAAAAATGATTGAATGGAAAAACGTAAATATGCCTTAGAATAATTCAACTTCAACATTTCAAATAATACATACTGAGGTAAAAATTTTCTTTTCCAATTATTAAGAATAAACAGGGCTTTTAAAGGACTTACTTCTAAAGGGAGAGAATTTCTGTAGGTGTTTACTACTAATCAATTTTTAAGAGTACAAAATTAAAAGAAATAATCGTTTTATCGAGATACATTTTAGTATAGGATATTCACATCTTTGGACGATTCAATATTTTTTTTATTTCATAATTTCCTTCGCACCTGTTGCATTTCTCATTAACTTCTCGTTAATAATTCATTTCTAAATCTAAGTAATAGTTCTTTTAACCTCTCGGAAAATTTATAATAAATAAGAATTTCATAAAACATGTGAGAAAACTCAAGTCTGCTTTGATTATCGTTACTTCAAATTTGTAAACTACGAAAAACCCCATTTTTGGACTCCTCACATTTACCTAATATAAATTTTGCTTAAATTTTTAACCTATGTAATACTATAAGTCTGTAGAAACCATTGGAAAAATATGGGGTCTCTCACCGAAAGTGGTCCTCTGGCTATACGACACAATAGTCAGGCCCATTATATTCAATGTAGTCTTTATGTAGTGGAGGACCGAAGAAAAGAACATACTTGCAAAGAAACTCGAGAGCGTTTCATCAGCTCCAAAGTCCACTCCAACCATGGCGCTTAACGCCCTCTTGCACTTAGTGCCCGTAGTTATCATCGCAAGATTTACAGCTGCGAAGTTGCTACCATACACACAGAATCAAGGTTTGCAAAAAAACACATATGTTTGTATTAGCTACTAAGCGCTTTGCTAATTTATAAGGGAAACTAATTAACAAGAGAATTATTTTCTATGGCTTCAAAAAGGACTACATATAGTAGTCCACATGCTATCTCTCTATTTATCCTTACACGAATCCAACGAATTTTCAATAGCTGTGCGTGGAATTTACACTAGTGATTTATGAAAATTAAATATTGATTTTATATCTACTACTACTGTTTTGAATTGCGGGCGGAAAAAGTTATATTATAAGACGTTGTGATCTTTTTTATTTAGATAACACTAGACTACGAAAGAGTTAAATATGTTTTGTACACGCTCATAGTGTTCCCTAAAAATATATACATGTATGTACATGTACATCTAACGTTTTAAATTTGAATTATCTATATTTCGACATTGGAAACGTCAAATACCATTCGGAAAGTGACAGATATTCAGTAGAAAGTCTAAAATTTACGAAATGGGTCGCTTTTCACTAGTAGAAAGCTGGGAAATGTTGAAAACTTTTTTCCTAAGTGGTGAGTCTTCAGCCCAAACCGAGGATGCTCAATTTTACCGAAAAATCATCTTTTCATACGAGGTTCATTTCCACCTCGATGGTTACGTTAACAAGCAGATTTGTCGCATTTGGGGCACAGAAAACCCGCACGTTATCGTCGAGAAGCCAATGCACCCAGCACGATTCACTGTATGGTGCGGATTTTGGTCTGGTGGAATCATCAGCCCATTTTTCTTCGAAAATGAAGAACCGCCGTAAACATCAATGGTGAGCGATTTCGCGCAATGTTAGCCGAATTTTTTTTTTCAAGTAAATTGAAGAGGAAGACTTGGACAACATTTGATTCCAGCAGGACGGCGCTACGTGCCATACAGCAAACGCTACACTCAATCTTTTACGCCCTATCTGCGAAAATCGCATAATCAGCAAAAGAGGTGATGTCAATTGGCCTCCCAGAAGCTGCGATTTAACTCCGTTGGACTACTTTCTGTGGGGAGCTGTTAAAGAGAAATGTTACGCCAACCAACCAGAAACAATTCAAGATCTAAAGTGCGAGATTCAAGCTGCTGTATCTGCCATAAGGCTTGAAACCAACGAGAAAGTACTCCAAAATTGGGTGGATGGGAAAAGCTACTGTAAACTCAGTCGTGGTGGTCATTTGTCCGAAATTGTTTTCACAAATAAATTTCATAAGCCAACCTTTTAAATAAATGTTAGACCTTTTAAAAATATCAAGCCGTTCTTTTTATTGACTTTTAAAATTTAAAATTTCATATGGCCCACCCTGTATATGATTGCTAAGTTAATGTGTATATATTTTATTATATGTATGTAATAAATTCATCAACACTTTGTTGACACACCCATTTTTCTAGCAGGTTTTTATATGTTATCAACATAAATTTAAGTTTATTAGCATTGAAAATTCTTATATTTCTTTTTTTTTTTATATTCTTGAATGTATACGTAAATAACTTAATTAGTGACAGTCATGTGGTTCATTTCATTTGCTATCCGATTTTTTGCGAGCCTTCGCGTCGCTTGCCAAAACACCTACGCATGAGAGTGTGAAACTTTTTCATTTATCTCGTTGTATTTGTTTCTATGCTTCAATTTGGCGTTTGTTTTATTGTCTTCTCTTTCTTTTTTCTTATATCTCTTTTTTCATATATACACATTAATGTCTTTGACGTTTCATGTCCTAATTTCACGCAACAATTTTTAACATCTCGAAAATGATATTTAAAACTTTTTTGTGCTAAACTTTATTTGTATGCACTTTTATGTATATCAGATAGATGTAGGTATGCATTGGAATTTTCAATCGAGAAGGATTATATACATGTCACATTCTGTTTTAAGTGAAATCAAAGGAAATTAATTAGTTTTTATTAAAATGTACAGTACAACGGCCTGAGTCAACCTCAAAGAGGTATTAGAGTGATCAAAAAAACCTTATATCGAATTTATGGGGGAGAATATCTCAAGAATAAAAACTAACACGAGAAAACCCGATTTTAATTAAAAATAACTTTCATAAGTTTTGAAAGATATGAATAAACTTTTTTTTTTACATCGCATGATCTTATAGAGCAAAAAAGTGTCCTAAAAATTCAATTACAAACTAATACATTTAAAAGCTCTGAAACCCATATTAGATATATGTACATACAGGGGTTTACAATACGAGCGCTACAAAAGTTTAAATACATTCCATGCCTTTATGTATGGAACACGATTTCTTTTGCATACCACCACGGGCACGCTCGCAGAAGCCCAGACGCTGAGCCCAATTTTGAAAGGTTTTCAAGCATAAATCGGCGGATACTGCTGCAACTGCACGTTCGATATTCTTACGAAGTTCATCGCTAGATTGTTGGCATAGACCATGAAATTGACGTAGCCCTACAGGAAATAGTTTAACGGCGTCAAATAGATGGCCAATTGACTGGGCCGTTTCGTGAGATAATACGTTCACCAAACTCAATTGCTCATCTGACAGGATGATTAAGACGACCATACGATCATTGGACAAAGCGACGTCGTTTGCTGTCCCTATCGGTCTACTTTTGTTGTGCCCTATTGAAAAACCCTTTATGTAGATGCTAGGCAAACTGATCAATCACGATCAAGTTAAAAATTTTTTCATAAATGATATTTGACCCTTATTAATTAATCTTAAGTCGCCTTGTAATAAAACAACTTGGCTAGTGAAAACTAGAAAGGAAATCGTTTAAATATTGCATAAGGAATTAATGTAATTATTTTAATATTTATATTATCCTTATTGTTTTTATTATTTTCTGTTTTTTAAGAAATGTACACAAATATCTTGCGTTCAAAATATTTTGACCGATTTCATGGACGAAATATTTTATTGTTTTTAATTTTCACTCAAATATATAATATTATTAACACTTTGGTCGCATATTTATGCCTACGTGCCCACATACTATCACACATATGTACATATGCTTATAGCCAAAGTTATGCATATCTACTTAAATATAGCATGTGTATTGACATTTCATGCGTTTTCTTAACGCTAAGTTGTTTACTAAATCCCCTTTAAATACATAAACATAATAAATTCTGTTTTAATTACATTTAATCATTGAGCAGTAAGAAATTGTTTTTTCTATAAATAATATGGCTCATTTGCGCACAAAATACCATTGCTTATGAGCTAATAACGTGTTAAGTGATGACTGTGGATTATAATATTAATATTGGGTGCTGATTTTCAAGCTCACATTTTTCATGCAATTTCCGGTCAGTGGTAGTTTGTATGAGTAATTTGAAAGATACTACTTTGGAGCGGTAATTTCAATTTATAGTAACTGAAATATATTCTATGTTTTTGCTAAGATTTCTAGCTTACTACATTAGTGAAAAATATGAAATATATATGGTTGCTGTATTCTGAATAAATTATACATCCTAGTTGGAATTTGAACCCCAAGCACTTTTAGTTAGCTTTCTGCGTGTTTTCCATACAATCAGCTGACATTTTTGCAGTGCTTATGTTCTATGAGATAACATTATCTCAGATTGCGACAAAAAATGCCAAGCAATTCACATTTCAGCAGATTTTAAACATGGGATCACGCTATTTTGTCCAATTCGTGTGTGAAATCACGTAATACAAAACAATAATTGAAAAAAAAGTAACAAAATTTGTTTTTAGAAATTTTCTGCGAAGATATTTACGACATTTCCGATAATTGAAAAAAATATTGGTTATTAGTAAACTTTTAAGTTCTTTAACTATTCAAACTACGAAGAGACCTAAATAAAGATGTAGTATTTAAAGAATTTCAACCATACTTATAAATCTAATATAGCTTAGTATTACTGTGTCAAGGTATGTTTAAAATTTTAGTATATTATTTTGATTGTACTCACCTATCATGGTCCCGACAATTAAAGCCACCCCACTGAAGAGTCCCACCCGTCTCTGGAGGTGAACAGCGTCGTTCGGCGCTGAGCCCTTCCTCTCCAACGACTTCCGCATCCCCCCGGTCCCTGATGAGTCGGTCTCTGTTTCGGGCCCTTCTGCCCCAAAAGACCCATTGGCACCCGTTGTCCCGTTGCTCGTGACTTTAATTGGCACATTATGTCCTATTTCATTTTTTCATATCATATTTTTTTTTTTACAAAATTCATATTTCGTACACAATATGCCAACAGTTCACCATTTTTGCACAAATGCAAATGTTAAGTTTATCACGGAAACGAAAAGAAAGAAAGAGAGTAGCACAATTAGCAAAGTTTTCAAATACAAATTTGGTTTTAATGCACGTATGATACATAAAAAAAAATTGTTTCAATGAAACTTGACAATTGTTTGTTTGAAACTTTGTTTCAAATTTTTTTTTTAAGTGAAAAAAAATTTCAAAAAACTTTTTTTTAAACTTTTAATAAAAAAAAATATTTTAGAACAATTTATTTTTTTATTTTTTATAATATTTCTTTAAAGAAAAAAATTTTATTGTTGTTTTTATTGAAGTTAATAAAAAAATAATAATATTTTTACTTAAAGAATTTTAAATATTTTATTTTATTTTTATATTTTATATTATTATTTAATAAATTGTCTTATATATATTTTTTTACTTTTTCATTAATTTTATATTATTGTAATTTTTTTTCCATTATATTATGTTTATATTGGTTTCAATACAATAGTTATAAAGTTAATAACTTTTATTATTCAAAATTATTTTATATATTAATATTTATGGTATTTTATTATACCTTTTGGAATTTGTTTAGACTTTTATATGTTTTTTTAATTGTTTCAGGCCTTTTTTTTATCTTTTTACTATGTCATCATTATTTTATAATATTTATTATTTTTTCTTTATAATTTATTCGATATTTTATTTATTTCAAACATTTTATTATTCTTTCAATTTTAATTGTTTACTAGATTTAATTTTCCTTTTAAGTTGTTATTATGTTTTATTTTCTTCATAATGAGTTTTTATCAATCTATGTTTATAAATTTTCATTTATTCAAATATTCCATTGTTTTTCGACGAAGTTTGTAACACCCAAAGAAATGCCGGAGACCTTAAAAATATATACCCATTTGTCCGTTGGTCTGTCTGTATATACGTGAACCAGTCACTCAGTTTTTGAGATATCGATCTGAAACTTTGCACACTACACCTGCTCATTTGTCGAAACCACCGATATCCAACGACAATAACATATAGCTTTCATACAAACCGATCAATGAAAATTAAGTCCATATATGGAAAACTTCTTTATTTGAAAATATATCTTCATGAAATTTGGCATAGAATATTTTCTAAGATAACCGTGCCATCTCCGAAGAATTTAGGTTAGATCGGACTTTTAAAGTATATAGCAGTCATACAAAGCGATCGATCAGAATCAAATACTTGTATGAGAAACTTTTTTATTTGAAGAGATATCTTCACAAAATTTGGTATAAAATGTTGGACAAGACAAAGGTACAATCTCAGAAGAAATTGTTCAGATCGGACTTCTAAAGCATATAGCTGTCATACAAGCCGATCGATCAGAATCAAGTTCATGTATGGGAGACTTATTTATTTAAAAAGATATATTCACGAAATTTTCTATACATTATTAGCCAAGACAAAGCTTCAATCTCCAAACATATTGTTCCAGTCGATACGTTATAGAATATAGCTGCCCTTCAAACTGACCGGTGAAAATCAAGGTATTTTTTGTGAAGGATATTATAGTTTCCTGGCAACCAAAGTAATTTTTTTTTTTTTTGTAAATATGTTGTATTTAAGATATCTTTTTATAAATCATTTACAGACCGTTATTTTTTTATGTCATTGAAGTGCTCTTATATTTATTTTTATATTCTGTTGCTTTTTTATTTTGTTTTTATTATTATTTTAGTTTTTAATGCTATCGAATTGTTTTCATTTTAATTTTTTTCTATTTTTTTCACGTTTATATTGTGATTTATATAAATTCCTTTTATAAATTATTTAGTCTTAGTCAATCTGTTTTTCTTATTGGATTTTTTTTTTTTTTTTTTTGTTTTTTGCTTGAACTTCATTCTCTTGGTATTTTTTATTTCTTTACTTTAAATTCTAATATTTAACATTGCGTTGTCCATTGATTCTATTTTGAATGCCTCCAACACTGTTCAAAAGTGTGCGTTTCTCTTCGGATAACCACTGCAAGCGATTTATTTTTAGCCGAAATATAAAAAAATAAAATTTTCAAAAGATCTGTAAAATTATGTAGGCGGCACAGACACACGCACTCGCATTACTAAATAACCACGTAAATATATATAGAGGGCATATACGAACACATATGTAAACATGAATATACCATGTAAGTATGTATTTATGTGTGTTTGCATATATATGTCAACCAGTAAATAGCAGAACCGTTAATGAACAACACACACCTCGATTATCTGTTGTATTATTTTTGCATGCGTTCTTTTGCAAGCAAAATAGTTGTGTGATTTTATCGCGCATGGCATGGACGGATAACGAATTTTACAAATTATTTCGCCGCAAATTTCAACTACGAGCGAACGACGACAACAACGGATTTCAGCAGACTGTTCGCCTATCGTGGCCACAAGTCCGATTATAGCTCGATGTGAATCGAGAATTTGGCGCCTGTAGACGTCTATGATGCCGATGATATTGCCGTTGTCTATTCGGATGCTTTGAAGGTTGCCGAAGGCGCAAACGATGACCAATTCCCACTATATATATGCGTATGTGTGTTGATGCACACACACGAATCGCACAAACGAAGATGGCTGCAAAGGAAAAGCTTGTTTGGCGCTGCCAACAGATAGCGGATGCCGGGAAATTTTGTCAACTTGAAACGGATGAACAAGGCCGAACCGGCAAACGGAAGATGGCAGCGGGTGCGCGGCGCCACTCAAATTAGTGTTCGGCAAAGTTCGCAAGCACAGCAAAGTGTTCGGCAAGCAATAAAATATATATGTAATTTTTTTTACATATATTATATATGTACTGATGATTTTTTTTTTTTTTTGTAATGTCTATATGTAGTGTATGTGGCGCGCACTGGTTGATGCTAGGCCTTGGCGAACAGAATTTCAGTGATACAGAAAAGTGTTTTCGCGTGTTTGCACACTCTTTTTCACACTTTAATGTTGTGGCACTACGCCTAGCTCACTTTTATTCGCGTTTTCTTTTCGGATTTTTGCCTTTTTTGTCTTTAAATATTTTTCTTTTACATGTACGTAGCGTAGTTGTGCGCTCCAGCAGCTTGGAGAAAATAGGCGATAGTACGATGACGTCTTTCGCGCAGCGTCAGAAAGTGATGCAAGAATTTGGAAGTATTCGTATGAGTTTACGTATTTGAATATAATTTCTTGTGACTTTTTGTACTTATTGCTCTGCTATGCGATTGAAATGTTGAGAGCGAGAGCGCACTGGCATCTATTTTGTGCTGCCGAGTTTATTTCCGTAGTCTTCGTCACAAGTTCTACCACTGTGTCCTTTGCTAAGTAAGAATTTGTTTAGATTTTTTCATATCTTAATTTTGTATAGTTTTTTTTTTTATTTACTGCTTAAATTCGTAAATTTTTGTTGTGTTTTTTTATTATTATTTCCATTTAATATTACTGTTTGGATAGACAATTCTTCATTTATTTATTTTTTTTTTAATTTTTTAGTTTTTTCTTGCTTGGTATATCCGTTTCTCACGCTTCCAGTTTTCAAATTATCTATTTTTAACGATTTTCCTTAATATAAATTCCGCACAATGCAAGTCATACAAATATTTGTACCAATTCATTTATTTTTTAGCGCTATTTAATGTTTTATCTGTTCTTTTTTCTTTTGTTCTATGCATTTAGACACTGCGTTGCTTTAAATTATGAAGATTCTCCGTTCGCCACCTTTGGGTTTGCGTAGTTTTTCTTTATGCACTTGTACACAGTTTGTCGCTAATTTGTAGTTGTAGAATGGTTTTGTTTAAAATTTTTTAGCTCTTTTTGCAGTCTTAGCACGTACACATAAATTTTTTCATAAAATATCTTTTCGATACACTGCTGCTTCAAAGGTCTCTTGTATGCGTATTTCCATGTTCTCTTCGCTGAAAAAGTTTTAAATAGTCTTTACTTCACTTCTTTGCTACCAATAATCTCCCCAGACTCTTATGCATTACAATGAGAAATTTTCAGTCATTATCACACGTTCTTTCGCCGTAAACAATCACTCAATATTCGATCTGCATTCGTTGGATACTTTCGTATAACTGAAAGTGTAAATTTGCAATAATTGCTACAAATAATAAATTCTTCTTTTAACCACCAGAAACTCTCAATTGCTAAAGTGCTCAAGTGAATTTTGTTGTGCTTGCAATTTTTTTTTTTTTTTTTTTTTTGCTTCAAAATCGGTCAGCAGCTACCGCATGTCGCGCACATACTCTATATACATACATACATATTTACTACAAATATTTACACACGAGTACAGCTGTATGTAGCCGCTTCTTCACATTTTCCAATTTGAGTAAATGAGTGAGTCGCAGTATGAGTACTTTTCATGTGGCCCATATCCAATCGAATTGAACATTTTGAGTGAATTTCTACATAACTACTCTTTAATTGGGAATTAATAGTTTTTATTGTTTATATGTAAATATTTACTTGATATGCAACAACAATTTCAGACACATAAAATATTATAGCATAGCAACATATAGACTTTTATATATTATATCGCGCATACATAAATCAATTCACATGTCCGCGCTCATATTCCGCAGACTGTCGAACTTTGTTTGCACTGTAAATAAATTCCTTACTCCAATATTGGTTTCTGCTTACTGCATTGTAAACATACTGTGCTTCCATTTGCTTTGATTTTTTTTATCCGCATTCGCTAATTGTTTTGCTACTAGTAATATGAATACGAAATCTAAGTCTAATGCTGAAAACAGACCCATTACGTTTGTGGACTAAGGCAAAATAATTGCAAATACAAAATATTGCTATAGCACAAGGGTAGTTGGATAAATCAAGTACTTGTAATTGCAACAGACTCATGAAGTCAAGTTCGGCCTTTCCCAAGTATTCATGCGTTCAAATGAGTTTAAGTGTCTAACTTTCAAATTACCTGAAAGCGTTCGCTATCTCTTACTTACCTGAAGCCTAACCGAATGTAGGTGTGTCCAGCATGTTAGAGCTTCAGAGCAGTATTAGTAAGAAAAGCAAGAAAGTGTAATTCGCAATTACATTGACTACTGTTGAGTTACTTAAAAATCAAGTTTTAACTGTTAAAAAAATTACTTTAAATGAGTATTGAAATCTCTAACTTATGATGTTAGAAAACAGTCACATTTTTACGACCCCCTCCATTCCACATACATTTTACAATAACCACTTTTGACAGATCACGCGTGCGTCGTGACAAACCGTCAAGTTATTTTTGTTCAGTATTGTTTGGCATTTTACATGGAAATACTTAAGCCTGAATATCTTTTACAAATCATTCAACTTTACGACGACAACCCACGTTCTTATAGTCAACATAATGGGCCTACTTCTAGCGTACTATTCGCAACATCATCGCCCAGCTTGTGGCCCAGCATTCATTATTACACAATATGAATCACGCACTGAAGGAAATATAGCAGCCGAAGCTGAGCGTGTACGCGAAGACCGTGAAAAGTCTATTCGGCACCGTTTGCACCAACTCGGACTGACGTATGGAAGGACTTGGCGCATTTTACGTCGACATCTTAATTTGAAAGCATTAAAAATACATACAACTTGTGCAAGAACTGAAGACTCTCGCCATTGCCAAAGGACATCGCTTCTCTCTACGGTTCCAAAAAGATCCGATATTTTCGAACCAAATTTTGTTCAGTATGAGCCCCGTTTCTGGTTCAAGGTATGTGAATAAGCAAAATTGAAGCAATTATGACGAAGAGCAACCTAAAAATACTCAAGAGACGCCATTTCATCCAGAAAAGTAATTTCTCCTTAAAAAAGAAGGGAACCTCGAAATTTATCACTCTTTAGAAAATTAAGCACTTCGTAAAATCTAACGAACTGTATGATTTTTACCGCTAGGTCCATACATTTTAGAAAAGCAATAGATTCTAACGTCGCCTAGTGGGTCTGAGCTTAACAGGAACACTGTGAGAAATTTCATTATTTGGGTTGAGTGGTCGGTGATATCAGAAATTTTTGAACACTGTCTTGTTGATCAGAAAAAAAGTATCTGTAAACCTTATGAGAAACGATTGCTTTGATAACTAATCTTGCATATTTTCAAAACAGTAACATAATCTTATATTTCGATAACTATACAAAACAATCAAACGAAATTCTAACCAAATATCATCTGGATGTAGTTTTCTTGCTTATAGAATATTTGTGGAAACTATAAATAGTTTTACTAAGATACATATCTACGTATACTTTTACTTTTATATATTATTCATACTTTCTCATACCATATAAACTGTTTACTTATTTCATTCAGAAGTGCTACTCATAATTCAACTCATTGAACAACAGAATATTTATAATTTGTGTTTGTTTAAAAATGTATAATTTTTTTCACTTTTTGCAACTTATAAATTTACATACTTACATATAATATAAACATATGTTTGTGCACCTGTGAAGAGCTACTTTCGTTTTCTCCAATATTTATATTTGAACTTCACATTCACAATACTAATTAATTGATTTGTTTATTCTCACTCTCATTAAAAGTGTCAGAATATAAAATATAATAAGAGAAAATATAAAAATAAAAACGGTGTAATGAAAAAGGTCTACGATGTTAATAAAAAACTTTGATAAGGCACATATGCTATATAATATTCTTCATATATGACAAAAAGGGTTGAGGTAAATTCGAAGAGCATTGCATATTATATATACCCACAATATATATCGATCGAATAATTGTATTAACAAATACCACTTTTGAATTGTAGAGTGGAGCAGATGGGAATCTATCAAAATCAGGTCTTTCTATGAAAATGAGACATTTTTTATATCTGACAAGATACAAGCGATACAATCTTCGGACAAATCGAACTACCATAGCATATAGCATATATAGTATACAGCCAAAGAATGACGTTTTCTCCTTCGTTAATTATTTTTTTAAGAAAAATCAATCTGCTATGGAATCAGCACAAATCGTTCTCTACAACTTGTAGTACAGGGTACTGGGGTATAAGCTCCTAACCAAGCAAGTGAGAAGCACAAAAATTATTCACTGTAGACCTAAGCATTTAAGTTCATACCGTGAGCCGCGAATTAAGATAACGTCAGTTTAGGTATTTAAGATAAACAGCAAAAATCGACGATAACTTACAACAAAAATATTAAAGATATTTTTGTTAAAAATAAATTATTGCTTACGCTCTATATAAAGTTAGCATAAATGAGTCTAGTTACTATGATTATGTGTTTGTATGCGGTTTTCAATTCTCTTAGTTTTCTTTTCACCGACTGTTAGTGTTAAAATTAAATAGCATACACACACACACATGTGTGCCTGTGTATGCCTCCAGTGTGTCAATAAGAAACGTTAATTCTCGACGTCAAAATGCGCGTGGGCATTTGCATTATTCTTTTTTTCGAATTCCCCTTAGTCACGCGGTATTTTTGCTCTACATATTCAGACACGTATGTACTTATACATATATATTAGGGCATGAACCCCCACTTGTCATTCAATTTACTGTGTTTGTGATTTTTATCAAAATTTTATCATTTTGCTATGACGTCGCTTAGTTTTATATTTATTTCTCTTTTTTGCAATTGAAATAGTATTTCGTCATTGCCTCTGATTACTTTTTTACTCATGTAAAATGTTTAGTTCTTATTGCCTCCAAAAAAGCTTGAATGATTTTGCTAAAATTACCTGCCTGCTAGATGGCGCTGAAAATAATTCAATGGTGGTAGACAGAGTTGTAGATATATCCAGTACAGCTTTCGAACGAAAAATACCAGCCAACTTACTTACTTGACTTATCTATTAAAACATCAATACGCGACCTTCAAAAATCCAAACAGTCTGTTCAATGCCCATCAAATAATAGGTCATAAGCAAATTTCAGAAAGTATTCCACTTGCGAGTTCATAAATTATTGAAACTTACAATAAATTTACGCGTGTTGATTTATGGGATATTTATCACAGTTTGTCACTTTTGCTATTACATATTTAGGTACTTCAAAGTTGGCAAATCATTTCACCACCCCGTCCTAATCAAAACCAAGTGCAAGTCATTAACACTTTTTTTTTATTTTTATTTTATTTTTTTTTTTGCTTAATAGCTCATCAGTCTGGCTGGTCTGATTACAAATCACCACAAAAGTGCCAACAGTGACGTAAACAAAGTTTTGTGAAAGAGGGGCGAAGGAAGCTTTGAGAAGTTTTTGAAGTAGTACTCGTATATTAACCGTTTGCTACTAACCAAACTGACACTTTCAATGCTTTAGCTATTTCAAAATGACAGTTTATCATTTTATACCAGTTGTTTGTTCGATTCGCCTCCAAGTTCTTAAAAATCGAAAACACTTCAACAGTGTGATGCTAAAGTGAAAGCATAGCATCAGAACACCAGAAGAAGGTGAACCCGATTCCCCAATCGATGACGATGAAGTGAACCTCCCTTTGCCTGACCATGGAGAACTTGGAATAGCAATTACCCAATGGATTGCCGATTGAGCTATTCAAATATGGCGGCAAAGAGCTGATGAAGAACATGCATCAGCTTTTTTGTAGAATATGGTCCGATGAAGCATGTCTTACGTCAATTATTCTTTTATAATATTATTGTATTTTGCATACGCCTCTGCATCTTCCGTTTTTGTTTTCTTGCATTTTCTCTTTATGTGTTCTTAGCAATTTACACTAATTGCGATAACCATCTTTCTTAATATTTTGCGGACGTTTACATATGTAATTACGTATATAAGTATATATTATGCCAGTTATGAAACTGACTGCGGTAAAAAATTGTGTGGCACGTGAAAGCTGTCATTAGAGTGTTGACGTCAAATTAAGAAACGAGGAGTATTAATAAAGGCCGATTTGGACACGAAGGAAAAGTATGCAATTATACATACTTTTAAATCTGTTTTTATACTCAAAGAATGAAAAATGCAGAACAAAAATATTTTTGAAGGAATAGACCTTCCAAACATCGACTCTACTATGAAAAACAAACGTCTATTTACTTTAACTCTAATTAAAAAGTCCAAAGAAAGTAAATAATATA